CGTAAGGAGACTGGTCGGTTGTCCCGCCCACAGCAGATAAATCGTCCGGGCAGTCAACAAGTGTCGTCGCATATTATTACTTTTTTCGGTAATGAAACATTTATAATACACTAAAATCTGATTAAGAGTAACAACTCATGAAGTAATTTGTTTGGTTTCTATAAAGTTCTGCCCCATGCTAACGTTTAGTATACAAAACTTTTAATATCATGACCTCAAACACTGTGTATAAATTTAAAGTCAATCGGATATTAACTTTAGCCTCTAGAGCATCCACAAGATTTTTCAAAGTGATCAAGGGCCATATCTCAAGCAGTAATAATCGTAAATCGCTGAAAATCAATAGGCTTCTTCGTCTTATGACCTTAAACACTGTGTATAAATTTTAAGTCAATCGGATATTAACTTTAGCCTCTAGAGCGTCCACAACATTTTTTGAAGTGATCAAGGGCCATAACTCTGGCAGTAATTATCGGAAATCGCTGAAAATCAATAGGCTTCTTCGTCTCATGGCCTTAAGCACTGTATATAAATTTAAAGTCAATCGGATATTAACTTTAGCCTTTAGAGCGTCCACAATTGCGGACGGAGACGACGACAGTATACGACCTTATAAAAATCGTAATAATTTGAATAATATATAAAATATTTATAATCTTGATAATATCTGATAAAAAACAGGCTACATCACTGGGAACTACTAATTGGTGAATCTGTGCACAGCCCTTATAGAAATCTCTGCCTGGCTTGTTATTTGTACGTCTATCGAAAGAAAATTAATTTCCCGACTATTACTCGGTATTACTGCGTTAAAATTGTAAATAAGGTGCGTTAATTAACAAGGGTGAAAAATTGTCTGAGAGGTGAGTTAATTAACGCTAGGGGTGAAAAACTGTGCGACGGTGCCTTTTCTGTAGAGGTGTGTTAATTTACCGACCGGTAAAAAATGAATGTCAATGGTGTGTAATTGTTGCGATAACTGCACCAAAAGGTGTATAATCAAGAACCAATCGGCTTTATCCGACACGTACGTGTTAAATCAAATTTGGGATGTAAAACTGTTTTACCGTGCGATTTACCAATCGACCGTGTGTTTTATGCAGGTCTTTGTATAATTAAAGACAGGTCTTTAGACAGGTGTGTGTGCTCGCTATGATCTACATTTCTCTTATGTGTCTTTTGTATTGCGTACCATATATATAAAGTTGCATTTAATGAAATAAAAAAATGGACCTTAATCTATCGTATACGGAAAGGCGAATGTAATGTCGTCATTTATAAATACCCAGCAGTCAGTGCCCAATTTGAATATCCACGGGAATAATATAGAGAGTAAATCCAGCAAAAACTATTTTTTCTACAACCGAAATATATTTCGGCTTTATTACTAAAAAGACACGCACTCACCGTTTCACATTAATTAAATTTATAAAAACGAGCCACCATGCGTAAATTGTGCATCTTACCTTCAATAGCAATATCCATAAAACAGAAATGTCCACATTGATAAATAATACAAAACAACCAACCAAACAGTGGTAATTCACACACAAATGTGACCCCCCCACAGCATACAGAGTCACAATGAGGAAATTTTGAAAATTGAGTTATTGTTATTTTCACATTCTCCAACTCATTGCCTTCAATTTGATGTATAGTTTGTTTAAATTGGGCAAAAATTGACTGAGCTATGTCCATTAGAAGCTACCCAACTCACAAAAGTAAGTTTTGAGAAAAAGCAAGTCAAAGATTTGGTATGTTCCAAAACAAAATCCCATAGCAACCAGGCCATTTATCTGCTGTTTTGTCGTTGAATAGATCTTTCCATGGGTTTTCAGGGTTGCTGAAGACGAAAATCGTAGTAAAAATTTGATCCGACTATTTCCGCAATTTATTTGCTATATTTTTTTCGTTTAATATGTTTTTATTTAGGATTTCAAGGGTTCTGACGACGAAAATCGTAATAAATGCACTCCTTTCGTAACGAAACATCCACAACACATACGGCATAATATTCACACGATAGTGTTATACTGAAGAACAATCTATACATTACTAGTCTGTTGTGTATAATATAACTTTAGTGAGATTAACTCAGTTAATCTCATCAATTAATTAGCACCTTGGTGCCAGCTAGTGGTCAGGAGATTAAGATTGTTGATTGGATTATCATCAAAGAAGCCGCAACAGCTGTACACGTGTTCATTTAACACGTGAATTAAAATAGGATTTTCCGTGTACGATAGGTCTATTATTATTTTCAGGTACCGTGACGTTATCAAAATATGAGTCCCTATAGAAATGTCAATTTCATAGTCAATGCTTACGTCCACTTTCGTGCATTTTGGCTTTGATGTAAATATCAACATTATTCAGAGGATACTCAACGGCAAACCCGAGAATCGTCGCATTTCGGCTCGTTGGTCGTTCTCATTTTTTCGACCCATTGTGATAAGAGAATTTTAAACAATAATAACCCAAATGCATTCCTTACTTTGCATGCCGGTAAACGGAATTCAGCTATCAATAAAATTCTCTTCGAAAAAAACATTATTGGCCATTTTGTTTATTTCCATTTAAGGCCTATAGATTATTTTTTTAAAGATGATATGAGATATCAAACAATCACCACTTGGATTAATTATTCGGAGTAAATAATGAGTTGTAGACGGCTTTATCACTGACCCGTGACAGTTGATTAGTAATAGTATTACTCAATGACACACACCCGCTTGTAGATTAATTTACATCTTCAGCCACGTGGTTTCGATTAACACTCAACGGCAATGTATACGATCAGAATTAATTTTTTTTTTCTGCCACTTATCAGAGTGAATCGCATGAAGGTACCCAAAAACATTGCCAAAACCAAATATTTATCGATAATGGGTTGCATACGGTGTCTGGGCCAATCAGCAAAGGAGTTGTGTGGACAGCGAGCGAAGAAAAATAACTAATTGCGCCGAGAATTTTAAGAAATAGGACAGATTTAAGAATACAGTACTCTTACAAAACGTTCAAATACAGATGTTTTAAAATATCCCCGGGTATATAGCGAATAAGCCAAATTTGCTGTATGTAAATATACTTATTCTCGTAAATATACTTATCCTTGTAAATATAGGTAACAGGAAAGGGTACGGCAACACTCCCTTAGTAAGTAGTTGTAGCTGGACAGGCTGATACATCTGCGTGGAGACTGGATCAAAAGAAAATGATACCAGCGGGGCTAAGTGGTAGAATAATATGATTTAAAGGATCCCCGCTAAAAAGAATCACAACAGACGTTTCGGGTAAAATACCCTTTATCCAGATTAGTATATAATACTACTACTACCTGGTGCTTTAACGTCTGCTTCCACAGAAGTGATGTAGCAGACAAGACATAGGAGAGCCAAGGCTTCCTCCTGTTTTTAGAATATGATTTTGCAATCTTTCCATTTGCAGCCTTAGGCCATGGAGTAGGTTTAGTGGGAAGTTCTTCCCTTTATTTAATAAAAACGTATAGTTTGGTTGTTGATCTGTGGAGACAGCATATGTGCGGACATATATGCGTCTCGTTTCTGGATTGGTAGATGTCATCTTTGTGGGTCTAGTGTTTAGGTGCCAGACCCGTCTTATCTTGGCCTCCCCTTACTCCACTGTCCCACTCTGCCGGTTTTGTTGTCTTTTTAGCGGATTAGTGTTTAGATGCCGAGTCCCTCTGACCGTGACCCTCTCTTACTCCACTATCCTGCTAATTTGGTTTATCTCTCCTGTGTAGATTAGTGTTTAGATGCCGAGCCCGTCTAATCGTGACCCTCTCTTACTTCAATATTCTACTTAATCCAACCGTGGTCATTAGATCGTGGATTAATTCAAAGATTTGCAGCTTCAGATCTGGTCTCGGAAAGAGTAGGTTCTTAGTGTTGAGCGGTATGTTGTTGTTCTCCATCATCCCCACTAGTCCCCTTCTCTCCTCCTTGTATACCTCACAGTCTACTAGGACATGGTTGGTGGTACATTTTTCTCCGCACTCACAGACGATGACTTGGTGTTTTAAGTCTCGCAGCTGCTCTTTCACCCTTAGTTTCGATATAAGTTTGCATATATCTCTTCTAGGGTGATTGATCGCTGTTTTCGTGTAGATCTTGTGATCCACCCGGAATCTGTATGTGTTAAGTTCAACGAGCTTTAGTTCCCAGATAGAATTGACCTGTCTTTTTAAAATACCGTGGTACTGTATTCTATAGTGCGGAGTGGTGCTGTGTCCTTGAGACCTTCGCTGGCGAGTCGATCGGCCTCCTCGTTTCCTCTGATATCCACATCTGATGGAATCCACACGAGCTCTAATTTGCTTCCCTTGTCTAGGACCCTCTGGTACAGCTGCCTGATTTCCAAAATGACTTCTGGTCTTGAGTCCGAGTTGTCGTTTTGGATAGAAATCAGATTGTTCAGAGAGTCGCTCGGAATGACGAACTTACTAGCCTTTTGATGGGACGGATGGCCACAATCTCTGCAGTGTACACCGAACAGTTATTGGGCAGTTTCCTGCTTATTCCCTGTTCCCCGTTTGGCTGGTATATTCCAAACGAGCTGGTGTCCCTTTCAGGATTGTGTGAGCCATCCATATAAACATGGTCCCATTCATCAGACGACCAGTTGTCTTCCAGGTGTTCTAGAGAGAAAGCACGTGCAGCAATAGGGTTATTGCATAGACATTCACTATTGTCAATTTTGTATTATTGCTCAATGTGATGGCTATGCCCATTGCTTCTAGAGGGCCCTCTACATTCAGCGAAATGTGACGCCTTATATATAATAATGGTGGTGACTTCACAGGATTTTTAAATTTATTTATGTACAGATTGTTAAAAAAGAAAGGATCGTTAAATTTAATAAATTTAAAGTATATGATTATGTACAATAAATTTGGTCATTTAAATAAAAGGATTGAAAAAAAAAAAAATTTGTTTAAAAAATATAAAAGAGAAAAATTAATAACTAATAAGTGTTTAAAGATAGATCATAATTGTTAAATGATTTAAAAAATATACTTAATATCGTCTTCCGACAAGTTATTATTTGTGTCTTCAAATTTGTACCATATAACTGGATTCCTGATCAAAAAAATAATATAATTCAAATGTCAGCCCTACCATTTCAGACTTCACGTCTTAACATTTCACGAATAGTCCGTGCAGAGCACGGAGTCGTCAATCTCAGTAACGGCTCCTTGATCAAAGTAACAATTCTATTTATACATGTAAAGGCTTGCACGAGCTTATTCGCACGTGTTGGGGAAAACTTTTCGGTTACTTTATTTGAGAAGATATTGATATAAAACTATAAAATTTGTCAATTTTTTTGTTGAAAATTCTGATAATTTGGTAGCTCTTGGGGAAGAATTGATCATATCGCTTACCCTGTTTGTGTATTGTACAATTTTATAATAGCTAGCAGATAATTTATGATATCTGAATTCTTTAAGAAAGAACATATAGGTCGTCAGGGTATGAAATAAGCCTCTTATATGGTAACCTCAAAATAGGTTACGCTAATCTGCATCAAATTTCAAATGGTAACCTATAGGTTACGATGCATCAATTTGCTGCCATATTTGTTTAGAGCCAACCCTCGAATTAGCCTAGGGGGATTTGGGGCCAATTAAAAGATTGGCCAGCTACCCCTAAAGCTTATTAAATCAGCAGGGCCCATATCCCTAAGCCAATTTAGTGGATTATTGTTAATCCTAATAGGGCCTACACTCTACAAAATTGCAAATAACTAAAAAAAAATCGAGAACGGAAGTCCGTTCGCATGTTTCCGGGTCATGGTAACCTATGCGTAACCTGAACGACCGTTCGCATGTTATTTCGAACCCTGGTCGTTATTTGATGTTAGTTTTTAATAGGCCATTTTTTTTATGACAGTCGGATATCAATCACAAATATCAAATATAAATCACATTAAATAGATGAACAGCCCAACGCAGCTTTGAAACAAACAGCATTGTACTTTTATGCAGAAATACATTTCCCTGTTCCCCAATCCAATTTGATATTTGATTAAACTTCACATTTCATTTAGACCTTAGACAATTACGTTTCCAACTGGTACGGAGAAGTAAATTGCCTAACAGAAAAATCATGCTTTATAAGTTGTTAAAGGGGCGTGGGGCTATTTAAGGAATGACGTTTGTGCATAATACAACTGCAAATATGGTGACTAAACATCATTTTGTTCAGAAGACGCTCTGCATGCGCAAACTTTCAAGTCTGTACCGATTTTAAAAAAATTGAACAATCCCACATATCCACATTCCTAAAAACAGGAGTTTTACCGTAACACAGTAATCACAATTAATTGTTACAAATTGGTATTACATGTAGCGGGTGGAGTGGGGGTACGGCCAAATCCTAACAACTCTGTGAAATCGCGACGAATAACTTCATAGTTAGTCATATTGTAAGTGTAACTGTGTTTTCTTTATTTTGACATTCTGCTAATTGAGAAACCATTTGAGTAATAAATACAGGTTATTGAATGGACTGAAGCTACATGTAAAATCACAAATACATCGACATCTCTTTTCAAAATTTGTAATTATTGCTACTGACAATTAACAATAAAAGTCATATTGTCCACACGACTACAACAAGGTTTGTTGTTAAAGGGGCGTATATGTTCTGTCAAACGGTTTCTTTTGATGTTACGTGTCAATTCTCACTATGGAACTTTGATTGACAGTATGCATCCACCAGACTCTTTGGTGCCGAAATGAAAAAGTCAGCAAGGTATTATCGGACTAATACGTGTCCATGAACGTTTATTCAGCAATCATTCAAGCAGAAAATGAACCAAAAATATTTTACAATCAACAATGCTGATTGTTTTTTAGCCATTTTCTAACATTTCTTCTAAGTTGAAAATATATGCTTCACGATTTTTAAACGAAGCTAAAATTATTGTCACAGGTAAATGCCAAAATTTCTAACGGAGACATTAATTTCAAAGAGCTATTTCTGCCAAGAAAGTCTGGCAGCACGAACTTAGTAAAATTTTATGATTGGCGTCGCCATTCAATCTGAAGAACAGTTCCCTTTGACTTTTTAATTCCACCTTACTTGTTGTTCTGTAACCCCTAATCTAAAATGCTATTTCGATCTCATCTAATATAGTACATGCCACAAAAACATCGAATTAACTTATTTATGATGTCTCCATTCTTTATTAAAAATTAAACTTAATATATGATACATTCCTTTTTAAATTGGCTTTCTCTGAAATAAAGTTTGGCAAAGTTATGCGTTACATATAAGCATGAAATGTATTTAGTAGGTTTTGTTTGATCTTCAGCGAAAAAGGGTCGTCGTTCTATTATAATAAAAAGAAATAAAAGAGATCAAATTATTAGTTTATTTTCACGTTTTGTCTTAGACAATAGATAGGCACTTTACTATTTTTTTTAGATAGATAGTTACACCTCCCAAACCTGTTTCATTTTAAAGAGCTTTTTAAATGATAAACAATGGTGTTTAGTTTTTCGAGCTAGCTTAACTAGAAGCCGAGATATTCAAATTTAACCTCGTTAAAATTCGTCCCTTTTGTTATATGTAAATGAGAAGACAATGCAATTAAAATAATAAAAATTGTGATAATTTCCGGCTAGATAATCACTTAAAAACACATATCTTCAAGACTATTAAAAGTACAAACAAGAAATTTGGAGTAAGTATTCCTTAAGATAAGGTGCCTGCGTTGCACAAATTAATAGGGTCCTAAATGTTAATTATCAATGACCTTTGACCTTGACCTCTCGAAACGTCAGACCAGAAAAGATGTATAAATCTTAACCGATCACAGTAAAAATGATATAACTTCAACAGTTTTTCAGATATTCATCTGAAATTTTGCCAAAATGTTATTCCTTAAGATAAGGTGCCTGCGTTGCACAAATTAATAGGGTCCTAAATGTTAATTATCAATGACCTTTGACCTTGACCTCTCGAAAGGTCAGACCAGAAAAGATCTATAAATCTTAACCGATCACAGTAAAAATGATATAACTTCAACAGTTTTTCATCTGAAATTTTGCCAAAATGTTATTCCTTAAGATAAGGTGCCTGCGTTGCACAAATTAATAGGGTCCTAAATGTTAATTATCAATGACCTTTGACCTTGACCTCTTGAAAGGTCAGACCAGAAAAGATGTATAAATCTTAACCGATCACAGTAAAAATGATATAACTTCAACAGTTTTTCAAATATTCATCTGAAATTTTGCCAAAATGTTCTTCAAGTACACAGCTTATAGGATACTTAATTACTTTGTCTCTATCCTGTGTTTTAGGTGTCCTGCTGACCTTGACGACATGAGAAAGAAATGATACATGAAATTTTATTTCCAAAAATCAAATATTTTAACCTTTCATTGTTTGGATCATTCATACTTGGTTTTAATGAAGATATAAAGGTATACAGATTGAAGCCCTCACTGACTGAAATACAAAAACCTTCAACACACTGCAGAGATCTTGGTAGTTTATCTTCTTTGGCGATAGACAGTTGGTTCCGGAGACCAACTACATTGATGACGAAATTGGTTTTATTTTAGGCCTACATGTCATTTAGTGTTAAATCACCAGACAAATAATCTGCCAGGAACTGCACTACTGTAAACTTGTAGTCAACTGCATCCTCGACTGTTTCCTCTGGAGACCAGTAAGCCACTTTTAGATTTGGAATTTTGGCACGCGATAGAGCCCAGATAACTTTTCCATGATAAAGATGTTTTTGACCATCATCGGAATCATACCATATATGGTCTATAAACACATCAGTGAGGACAGCAAGATCACTTATAACTGTCGTTATAAATTGTTGCGTTTCACTGTCAAATGAGGATAACTTATCCGCGACTGTTGCTCCTTTTTCATAAATGTCCTTTAAGTTCCGTTCGATTTTCATACGGGCGCTTTTGTCAAATTTCTGCAACTTGTTACTCACTCTATGGTCTTGTATTTTAGCAATATTTTCAGCCCTTTTTTTCCACAAATTTCTCATTTGTCTTGCTCTGGTAATACCAAAATAGATGATGGATTTCTGTTGAGTTGATGTCTTACTGGCAAGCCATGACATGGTGTTGTTTTTGGCGGATTTCACTTTTCTATCTATAAAGCCTGTTGTAGCATTCAGAGCTCGTTTAAAATGATGGTCAGTGAGTCCCATGATACACTCTGCAAACATGTTATGTGTAGGGGCAGACTTGGTTTGTTCCAAAAGAGCTGGTGAAGGGTTTGACAAATCACCACCAATGTAACGTTCGAGTTGCCTTTCCAGGACACCAATAATACCATCCACCAATGAACAGCTGATTTTTTTAAACTGTTCTTCTGCATAAAGACTTGACAGGGGTTGACAGAGAGCTTGTAAAACACCATCATCAACTTCCAGTTCCCTGTCAAACACATCCTTTTTTACAGTCAACAGAGATAATGGGTTTTCCCTAAAATATCTCAAATTGGTTAAACAGGTATTCACCATAGGATTTGTTTCAAGATTAGTAAGATTAGACTAGTTTGCATAAAATTTTACCATCCATGGTCCAGTAAGTAATTTTCCCAATAGCCCTAAAACACGCAATTCTAAAACTATTGTAGTGTTTTGTAGATCTTTTAGTAATGCGCTGCGAAGAGTGGTCTGGTTATTGCACATTTTATGGAAGTATAAACATAGCTTATCATACAGGTGAATAACAACTCCAGCTAGATGAAAAATAATGTGAAAGCGATTTCCGACATATCTTACAATAACACCACACTTAAGGTCATGCTTTTTTAGAAATAACGTAAACCCATGTAGATCGCCTTTGCCCTGTTTGTAGCGCATTTTACTGATTCCGTACAAAAGATTAGCGGCACGACAGTCACTGCCGAAGGTATTGCTTTCGACAGAATTATCAGTGTCATAGGTTTTCAGCAACTCCCAACATTTTCGAGCAACACTCTCTAGAGGGTGGACATTACAGTTTAACGATAGAAGTTTAATATCCAAGTCTCTCTCGAGTTCTCTCACCGCAGCAGCATTCACATTTACACAATCAGACATGGTATTTTTCAAATGACTTATTACTTTTTTTTCAGTCACCACAGCACTTATATTGTGAAATGATGAGTATGTATGAACGATGTCATGGAGACTTTCCTTTACATGATTAGCATAATCTACTGCCTCACCACCAGGGAGAACTGCCACCTGCATAACATAACCTGTGGGAGGCACAATTCCAATTGTTATATGGATTTCATTCACATGATCACCCGCTAGTGATGTAGCATCCCATGATCTTGTTAGGTTATCATTATTAATTAGGACATCTCCCACCTGCAGGTCACTCATTACACCCAATTCATAAGAATACTGGCTGATTGTTCCTGCACTTGCAAAATTGGCAATAGATACATCAGCTAATTCTTCCAAAACATGGTTTATGACATTACTTGTTGTCTCTACAGGTACTTGGTTTTGTAGACAATAATAAGCTGCTTTACGAAACTTATCGCTGTAGGTTTTGTCATCTTTTTTATAACTTATAACGATACAAACAGTTTTGGCCTCTTCAAATTCAAGTGATAGATTTTCATAAGCTCTTTCCAGCTGAGACAATTTATTTTTGATGTCTAAATTTTCTACTTGTAATTTTTTCAAACAGGACTTAAATTTCGCTTTTTGTCTTAGAAACATCATTATAAACAGAAGTATTAGACAATGTATTGTTTAATACATCGATCTTTTTTCACTAACTCAGCCTTCAAACCACGGACTTTAGCACAAAGTGAAGTCTCAATATTTTCTTTACGAGTCAAAGCCTGACACAATCTAATTTTTTCTGAACTTTGGGGTTTCACTATTTTCAGCTCAGCTAATAAATTCCGTCTTGATTTTGTTAGCTTTTTCACTGATGTTCTACGATGCACACAGCTTTTGCAGTCAATCTTTAGTTTTTTAGGAGACGGAGAACACTCAGAGTGATAATTTACTCTCTTTAAAGAAGCTGGTTGAGGTGTAACAGTCAATGATGTTGGAGTTGCAGATGAAGTTGATGGCTGAGGAGAATTAAATTCGACTTCTGAAATAGTTGGTGTGACTTCTCCAACTGCAGGACGAGGACACTTTAAAGGTTCATTTAATAAATTTAAAATTGATGTCCAATTTCTCTGAGTGTTTTTTTTTAAACTGTCCAGTGATTGTACAGTTCGCTGAACAATAGTTTTCACACTATCAAAATTGGCCAATCTAAAGTCATCTGTCAGCTGTTGTAGTTGACGTGCTGTGGCTGCACGATCTTTTTTATTTTCACCATAAAGATAAACTAACAATCCCTTACGAAAAGTATCTCGAATTAATTTAATTTCTCCATTTTCATCAATCAAGAGGTCTTCCTTAAAACTTTGAATAAGACCTGGTAAAGCCATTGATAAAGTCTGAAATAATAAACAGAAATAAAATAAATTTCCATTTATCTAACATTATTGACATTAGCAATTAGAACAGTATATTAGAACCTTATCATACATAAATATTTTCATAAATAATGAGAAATTATTTTAAAATAGTTTTTTGTTAACTATCAGCTTTGTTTACAAATCCACTGGGCTACATGTGCTCCTGTTGTGTTATTATTTACAAACAAAGTCACGTGAACCAATCAGCAACCAGGATAACGAAATCATGCAGCATTCATCCAAATTTACAACTAAAATTAATCCATTAACATCGGAGCCAAGTGAACACAATATACCCCAAAAACATATCAGTATGTTTAAAAACATATATATCGATGGTTATAATATACTAATATGAGTAAATAACAACAATAGAACACTCCGCATAGCAGTTTTTGCAATGGTGAAAATTGAAAAAAATCACGTCCGCCAAGGCGGACCACCTGGACAGAGGCCCTTATATCAACAATCTGCGTATCAGTTTACAACCATGAAAATTGGGATACAAGTAAAAAAGACATAACATGAGGTGTGCAGACCATGTTCAATGATGTGTGTGCATTTTAAGAATAAAAATAATTATATTGAAACTTACCTTCAAGTTCGGAAACCGCTAAAATCCAAAATAATTCACGGATCTGAAAAAAAAAATTCCCGGCTTAACCGCCATTAAAAATTTTATCACGTAGAACGAAACATCGCGAGATTTAAAAAAAAACCACAAGATTTATGATAAATTGAAAATAGCATCACCCCAATGCCTCTTGTAATACGCGCTGCTATGACGTAACGTTTTTTGATTCCGGCTGACTGTTGAAATAGTGACGTGCCTACAAAAGACATATTGTTAGCTTCTGACATGTGTATTAATTCTACAAGCCTTCTGTATTTATTGCCCTTCAACCCAAAATGCTTTCTGTAGATCCCATATTATGTAATATATGATTGGTGCAATACCCATGCTGTTAGTCTTAATTGGGAAGACATATAAAAAAAAAAGGATTTAATCAGGGTAGGGAGTCGACATGTACTCACGTAAATCAGATGCGTGAGATTTATCATTCATGGATGTGTTGTCAGTGTGGGAAATACTGTTTTAAATGGATATATAAATAAACGTTTTATGATTGTGGACGAAACGGTATGTGCATCTCAAGAAAGCTTTGCTTCGAAACCGTCCCGTCGACATTAAAAGTCCAACATCTGTTTCACGGTAGAGATCTTGAAAAATAATCCCCGGATTATAGCAGGCATTACAGGATGCGAGTCAGTTCATCCCATAACCGGTTCACCCCGGGCTGTTTCATCTCAATCTAATTTTCTATCGGGCTGTTTCACCCCGGGCTGTTTCATCCCCCTTGTTATTATAATAGCAGTTAATTAACTGAGTTGTACTTATTGTCGAATAAACTGTTAAACACTTACTTGTTGTTAAATAAACATGTACTTTATTGTTTATTATTAAATAAACATGCAATTAATTGTTATGGATTAGTAATAAAAACATGACGCGAGAGTTGAGTTGTATTTACACATTTATGTAAGAAGCCAGATAAATGAACAATTAAAATTAATTACTTTGATTTAAAGCGTTATCTAACTATAAATATGATCCGAAAACGTGTAAAACGTGTAAAAGATGGTTCATGGATGGGACTTTTAAAGTAGTTAAAAAGCCGTTTTCCCAGTTGTGGTCCATACATGGTCTTTTGAAAAAAGGGGACAGTATGAAGCAGGTGCCGCTATGTTTCGTCCTGATGACAAGAAGGACGTCCGAAGACTATTGTAGGTACTATTACATATAAAAGAAAGATATTAACCTGCAGTAGAATATGGCATGATGGACTTTGAACCAGGTTGCTGGTCAGCTATCAGAAAAGTGTTCCCCGGGATGAAGTTAAAGGGCTGTGTTTTTCATTGGAAACAATGCGTTTGGAGGAAGGTTCAGGGTGTTGGTTTGGCGGGTACTTACTACGAAAGGAAGACCACGTCCGTAGTTTGATGGCGCTACCTTTTTCTACCCGCCGACCACATGCGAGCTGCCTTCGACAAGTTGTGTCTGATGGCAAACACGGACCCTTTACGGGAACTCGTTTCGTATATCCGACAAACCTGGTTTGAGTCCTCTGTCTATTCTTTAAATAACATCAGCATCTTCATGATGGCTTTCCGAACAAATAATGATTGTGAAGGTAAGTTACATTCAATAGTATTTACATTCAATATTATTTACATTCAATAGTAATTAGTAGTTTAATTGAATATTCTTATACAATGTTGACATTCTTTAATATGAGATTAATGTATTTCAGGATGGCACAGGCGTCTTAATTCAAGGTGTGTTGGAGCGGGTCTAAGTTTTTATATTTTAGTACCAATTTTAAAGGAAGAGGGAGAATTGATAGACATGCAGTGGACAATGGTTGAAGAAGGTGTGAATTTTAGAAATTGTAGAAAAACATATTGTAAAATAAACTCTAAGATATTTGAAGCCTGGGGGCAATACACTGATCGATCCATCACAACAAGTGCCTTTTTAAAACTAGCGGGTAACTATGTGGCCATAAATAGTTAATTTACTGAAATTTATGTACAAATGATAATAGATAATTTAATGAAATAGTTTAACGAATACATTTATTTATGAAATAATTTAATTTAACATATACATTTCTTTATAAAATAATTTAACAAATACATTTATTCAAGAAATAATTTAATGAAATTAAAGTAATTTAACAAATATATTTATTTATAAAAGCCGTAAATACATTTATTTATAAAAGCCGTACATAGATAATTTAATGAACTCAAAGTAATTGATTTATGTATGATTTATGTATGAAATGATTTATGTATGAAATGATTTATGTATGAAATGATTTATGTATGAAATGATACAAATAGTATTACTAAAAGTGCCATGACATGTTGTTATTGTCATAAATGTATGAATAACATATTAAAAATACGTAAAACCTGTTTATTGATTTGTGGGATGAAACGACCCGATATGACGCGATGAAACAGCCCGGGGTCACTTTGGGATGAAACAGCCCGGGGTGAACCGGTCATGGGATGAAACGACCTGCTCCCGCATTACAGATACCTGCGGTCGTATGAATCCTAAAAAATAATATTTCACCGTATCGCAACAGGTCAGTACTAAAACTAACACTTATTTCAACATCGTGCGGCAAAATAGACATTCGGCGACAAAACTGAATGATGACCCACAACTAAACACATCGTAATATCTGAACATAGCACGTGAAATTAGATGTTTTGACAACAAAATTGAACACCTTGCATAATTGGACACCTTGCTTGATTTTAATCATGGCTCGAGAAATTGAACGGTCAAACTAATTATTGAACAGTCGTGAGAATTAGGCGGGACGCTTATAAGTAAACATGTGTTGACAAACTAAACACTAGTTAATTAGACGCTTGGTAATCAAAATTAAACAGTGAGATTTAAATTGGATACAAGTACAAAATGAACACTATTAGCCGAAATTCAACAATAGTTATGAATATTTGAACACAGGACAGAAATTAGTGCTATTTACGCTAGATTAAACGATACCAATGTTAAAGTGATAAGCTTCCCCAGATATTTAATCAATCACACAGTACACCCCATATTTTGTATTACATCCCTGCTAGACACTATTCATTGTGCAAAGAAACCAGTAATGAAGTCTATTTGAAATCAAACATCTTACTTTAAATCTACAGCCAATTTCTGTAGTTCTTCATTCTGGGATTTCAATCTGTCCATTTCATCTAAAGCTTGTTTTAGCTTATACTCTGTAAGCTGGTTAGCTTCACCAGTTTGCATGACAGACATACTCATATACATCATAACTGCAACCCAAATGCACAAAAGTCCAGCAACAATTTTCCAACTTTTCATGACTTCTTAGGCATATCTGTCTAAAAAAAATTGAAGATTGCCACAAGACAAAATCTCTAGACGGTATACATGTAATATCATTGCAGAGAAATTCGATACACTTCTTTGTCTCACTAATGTAAGCAACATATACATCCATATAAATCTAAAGACAGCCACATGCCCACAGTAGCCTATCTGAATGGAAAATTTGGATGTTGACCAAATTTAATATTTCGGCAGAATGCTGCTCAATGTCTGCATGTTCTTTCGTGATACATGTATCACACGCAAAAGAAATATCGTTATATCTTTGGTACATTTAGTTCCTGTGAGTAGTGTACCAGCAGAGGAAAGACAGGTTTAAGTCTGCAAAATTTAATATACGTCTCTGCGTAATCGTTTATCACAGCACCGTAGTTTTTGTCTGTCACCTTTTAGTTTTAATTCATTCGACGATGATAAACAAACGACACAATGATCATGTGACAACCATAATTGAAATTGCTTTAAAATAAAATTTTGTTTCGCTATGTCATAGCCTTCAATAATAACGATAACATTTATAAAAAAGATAGATTGCCAGGCAACAAAGCATTCGCCCACAGCAGCTACATCGTCCGAGCGGTCGACAAGGGTTGTCGCATATTTATTCCTTTGTAGGTAATTGGGGGCCTTTACAAGACAGTTCCATACAGATCAGATTATAAATTTTGTTGTTTGAGGGTTTACAAGGTTCTACAAACTGAAACAAGGGTCTCAACTCTGGAAGTAATCTACTGAAATTGTTGAAATTCAACAGGCTTTTTCATTTTACTAATTCAAATAATGCATATGAATTTCATACAGATCGGATAACTTTTGTCGTTCGAACGTTCACAAGGAACAACAAAGTGAAACAAGGGCCATTACTCACGGCGTAATTAACGGAAATTGCTGAAATTCAATGGGCTTCTACATTTCACTAATTTAAATGATGCATATCAATTTCAAACAGATCGGATGAAAACTGTTGTTATTAGAGCGTTCACATGGATCAATAAAGTGAAACAAGGGTCATAAATCTAGACGTAATAAACGGAAATTTCTGAAATTCAATAGGCTTCTTCACAAGGATCAATAAAGTGAAACAAGGGCCATAACTCTAGACATAATAAAGGGTAAATGCTGAAATTCAATAGGCTTCTTCGTTTCACTAATTTAAATCATGCATATAAATTTCACAAAGATTGGGTGATAACTTTTGGCGTTAACAGCGTTCACAAGGTGCAGTAAAGTGAAACAAGGGCCATAACTCTAGATGTAGTAAACAGAAATTGCTGAAATACAATAGGCTTCTTCGTTTCACTAATCTAAATAATGCATATAAATTTCAGAAAGATCGAATGATAACAACAAAGTGAAACAAGGGCCATAACTCACGGCATAATTAATGGAAATTGCTGAAATTTAATGGGCTTCTTCATTTCACTAATTTAAAGCTGCAATTTCATATTTTTTAAGTTGTATTTTTAAAATTTATTAATATAAAGCCTTAAAATAGATGGTATCTATAAACCGTCCTACCTTGTTAAAGAATAATCCTATAAGTCACTATTGCCAGCTGAGAAATTGGCAAAAATATCATTTTCAACTTCAAATTCCAACGTTTGAAGGTAGCTAATGCATGGAGGCAATAGGAAAACAAGGGACGTAATTGTGTTATTATTTCCTGTGTCAATGATTTTTGAGGGTGGGAAATAATACCCATGGTCGTATAATAGTGAGTTTTGATAACCTATTGAGCAAAAGACATAGAAATAATTATGTTTTGACTTTCTTAGATGAAAACTGTTGTTATTAGAGTGTTCACAAGGTTCAATAAAGTGAAACAAGGGCAATAACTCGAGATGTAATAAACAGAAATTGTTGAAATTCAACAGGCTTCTTCGTTTCACTAACTTAAATATTGCATATAAATTTCACAAAAATCGTATGTTAACTTTTGGCATTAGAGCGTTCACAAGGTTCAACAAAGTGAAACAGGGGCCATAACTCTAGACATAATAAACAGAAATCATTGAAATTAAATAGGCTTCTTCATCTCACTAATGTAAACAACATATATCAATTTTAAAACAACTGGATGATAACTTGCGGCGATAAAGCGTTCACAAGAAATTGTGGACAACGGACGGACCGACTAACGGACAGCAATATACGTCCACATTTCAATGTGGGCATATAAAAAGCTTCTGTCAGCTTGTGTATAAAGTAAACCAGCGGCTGCCAGGCAGGATACGCCCACATTTTCGAGAGATGGATAGAGAACAAGCTAAAAAAGAAAGTGATTTTTCCTACAATCAAGGGCCACAATTCAGGAAATTACAATTCGATATGCGCAAATATCGAAAGGAACCGAGATCTTGGGGTTATAAACTTACATTTCAAGTTTCATCAAAATAGTATTAAAATTGTGACCTCTATAGGGTCCACAACCTTGATATACCATATTTTTACGCTATTTGAGAACTAAGGGCGCCATTTTGTCTGAAAGTTTTGGGTCGATTTTCACGAAATTGGAACTCAGCCGTCCTTAGGGTGCAACGGTGATATAATAATATGTTTTTTTAAATCGGATGAAAATTATGACCTCTATAGTGTCCACAAGCTAAACCAGCGGCTGCCAGGCAGGATACGCCTACATTTTCGAGAGATAGATAGAGAACAAGCTAACAAGAAAGTGATTTTTCCTACAATCAAGGGACATAATTCAGGAAATTCCAATTCGATATGCGCGGATATCGAAAGGAACTGAGATCTTTGTGTTATAAACTTACATTTCAAGTTTCAACAAAATCGGATAAAAATTGCGACCTCTATAGGGTCCACAAACTTGATATACCGTATTTTTACGCTATCTGAGAACGAACGGCGGCCATTTTGTCCGTCAATTTTAGGCTGATTTTCACAATCCTTAGGGTGTAATGATGATATAATAATACGTTTTTTTAAATCGGATAAAAATTATGACCTCTATAGGGTCCACAAGCTAAAAACGCAATTTTTCGTACGATCAGGGGCCATAATTCAGGAAGTTATGTTCCGATATGCGCTAATATCAAAAGGAACCGAGATCTTTGGGTTATAAGCATACATTTCAAGTTTAAACCAAATCGGATAAAAACGCAATTTTTCGTACAATCAGGGGCCATAATTCAGGAAGTTATGTTCCGATATGCGCTAATATCAAAAGGAACCTAGATCTTTGGGTTATAAGCATACATTTCAAGTTTAAACCAAATCGGATAAAAATTGCGTCAATACTATATACCGGAAAACACCGGAAAACAACTGGAAAACACCATTTTATACTGAATACTGGAAAACACCGGAAAAACACTAAATACCGGAAAACATCCTAAATACCGGAAAACACCCTAAATAAGTAACCCGGAGCCTGGTCCTCTCTGTGCGGTTTTGGACCAAGTGAGCGCCGATGAAGGAAGGTCAAGGTCATTACGATGTTCGTTTTACAAATAGCCCCCCCACAAAAAAAAATTCAATTTTTTTTCTCCCAAATTGTTTTGACGAAAAAAAAATTCTGTCCCCAAAGAAAAAAAAAATTGGTTTTACAAAAAAAATATTCCGTAGAAAATAATTTTACAGAGAAAAATACTGGAAAATCTTTTTTGCGAGAAATTTGGGAGAAGAAATTGTTAAAAAAAATCTGAAAAGAAATTTTTCTTTGACTGTAGGCGATCGCTCGCTTGTATGTTAATGAACTTATTTCATCAGCGCTCACCTGGTCCAAAACCACACACGAGGACCAAACTCCGAAATACTAAATAGCTACCGGAAAACTTAGAAGAGTAAACTGTGCCCGAGATTTTTTTTAGAGAGTGCACAGCGCCGCGCCGCTCCAAGAGGGAACATCGTCATGGTGGGACGGGGGGTGGAATTGTCCAGTCACGTGACGAACATAGATCTTCCATTCCTCAACCCATATTATTTTCACAGTCATTGTCATTAATCACAAATTACGGGATGATATACGAAAATGCAGGTTTACTTTGAAATAGTGCAAATGATACTTTTCCATCTACAATCTTCAGATCAAAGGATGCAAGTTCTTACACAGTGCAGCATAATTTGTGCAACAGAAGACATCTCGAATATCGATTGTCGGAAAAAACATTTTCTCGGTGTAAGTCTTCGATCAGCCACCAGGAAGTGGTTAACAAAGTAATGATTTATTACGATAGTAGTACATAAAACAAATTGGTTGCCTGAGGTTCTCGGGGGGAAAGTCGCCTCATCGGCTAGAGTCCTCTATTTCACAAACAAAAACAACAATTGCTTCCTTGAAAATTTATCGGTCAACCCTTTTCACAGACGTCGAGCTTACCACTTCCCGTCAATGCAGTAAGATAGAATATGTAGTTTTCTCATGGACAATTGGGCGAAAGTTGGGGTTTTCTCAAGGAAAACTGGTCAACGAGTTGGGGGAAAAAAGCTTGAAAAGTAATCCAGAAAAAAATCCTGTGTGCGGCCCTCGGAATATGATGGAATATGTTGAATATTATTATGGTTCAAGTGATTATATTGACCCTGGAATGAAAGTAAGCTCAGAAACAAGTAGATTTTTAGCCCTTCCAACGAGATGGATAGCTCTTGGAAAGGATAGACACTTTTCAGATTACAGCCTGTCCGAGAATTGCGTGGCATCCATTTCGTTTGGTGATTAGGACACATAGCGGTTAAACCTGGAACTTCAACTCGAACTATTCAGAGATTTATTAACTCGCTTTTGATGATACTTGCTGTTTTATGATGCGATTTTTTGTTACCTAGGGAGGAGTTGGCCTAATCGTGCCTTCCACTAATTCGTACCACCCTGATGCCAGCGTTACTGGTAAGAATCAGGAGACCGGCGCAACCGGCATATAACAGGGCCCTCAGATCGCTGTGTTTAATCTACTGAAATACTGAAATCTACTAAAATTTACTGAAAACTAAAATTAAAATACAAAATAAAATATGGTCAATGATGGAGGTAGAC